TTTGGGGTAGAATCTCTACGATAAAGATGAGCGTGCTTCCAAAGATGTTATTTTTATTTCAGACTATCCCCATTATAAAGGGGGTAGGGATCTTCAAAGAGTGGCAAAGAGTGATTTCAAGGTATATCTGGCAGGGGAAGAAGCCAAGAATAAAATATAAGTTATTAACGGATGTGAAAGAAAGAGGAGGCTTCGCCCTGCCAGATATGAAATTATACTATGAAGCAGCATGCCTATGTTGGTTAAAGGAATGGATAAAACTAGAAAATAAGGAATTATTAGATCTTGAAGGTTTTGATAACAGATTTGGATGGCACGCATATTTATGGTGTGACAAGAAGAAAATTCATAAAGGTTTTGGGAACCACATCTTCAGGAATTCGTTAATAGAAATATGGGACAGGTACAAAAATCTATTGGAACCAAGAGTTCCACACTGGCTATCTCCGTTGGAGGTTATGAGCGTAAAGAAAATTAATATGAGAGGTAAATGGATTACGTATGGTGAAATGGTAATTAAAGAAGGAGGAAAATGGAAATTAAAACCATATGAACAAGTTAAAGATCACGTATATGATTGGTTGCATTATTTCCAGGTAAATGAAATGTTTAAAAAAGATATAAAAGAAAGTGGTTATGTAGAAAAAGATTCAAAGTTTCAAACAGATATAATAAACAATGAATGTAAAATTTTGTCAAAAATGTATAAAATATTGTTGGAATGGTATAAGAAGGATGAAGAGGTTAAATCAGTAATGATACAATGGGTCAAAGACTTTGGGTATAATATTCAATTTGATGACTGGGAAAAACTGTGGAAAGAAAGTTTAAAATTTACTGCATGTACGGTGTTGAAGGAAAATGTCATGAAAATGTTTTATAGATGGTACATTACACCGGTAAAACTAGCAAAAATGTATAAGACGTGTAATAAGTGTTGGAAATGTAAAGAAAAAGAAGGAACGTTTTATCATATGTGGTGGGAATGTAAGAAAGTGAAAAGTTTCTGGGAAGCGATACACAATGAATTGAAAAAGATGTTAAAATATACTTTTGTAAAGAAACCAGAAGCCTTTCTTTTAGGGATTACAGGAAAGGAAATAAGAAGAAAGGATTGTAAACTTTTTCAGTAAGCAGTTACAGCAGCAAGAATTTTATTGGCCCAGAAATGGAAACAAGAGGAAATACCAACGATACAAGAATGGAGAATGAAATTGACAGACTATGCGTAATTGGATAAACTAACTGGGAAAATTATATACGTGCGAGACCAAAAGTTCATCGAAGACTGGGGAAAGTTTGTAGAATATCTGAAAAATGTATGTGATGTGCAAACAACGCTAGTGGGGTTTCAAGAGGCACTGTAAAAGTTGAGATGTATTGTTAAAGAGAAATAGAAGGGGGAGGGAAGACAAATGGCAATACAAATGAAGGAAATGCATACTGAAGAGATAAATATGGATGATTGCCAGAGAAGCTGAAGGAAGTCCAAAAAGAGATAATTTGTTAAAACTTGGATAAAATTGTATAATTGTGTTGGAAAATTAATAAAAATTTATTTGGAAAAAAAAAAAGAATCTTTTGCTTCACCATCCCCACTACGGGCTCCCTGATGCTACTCAGCTTAAAAAAGAAAGAAAAAAGTGTCCCCGGATTCATTGAAAAAAACTTGGTAACCATATTCTAAATTAATTAAATAAAGCCACTTAACCCACTGAAATATACATTTGAAAAATAATAATAAGAGGAGTGGTGCCCATTGTTAGGCGAGGTAGCTAGAGTGATGATGTCATGTCCTCCATTGTGACACGTCCCCTGCTGAGTGACTTGGCTGAGAACTTTGGGCAGAGCAACTATTTGAATTTAATGATTGTATTTAGAGAGAGCGCTTTTGGTTGTCGACATAATGAAGGTTCAGTCGTCTCGCTTGTAAGTAGAATCTCTTATTTCCCCCCTATTTCTTTAGCTATCCCTTAAGATTTAGACACATAGGGAACCAGGTCATGGTTAGATTAATTTTTAAAGATTGTCCTCAGGGCCCCCTTAGATGCTTTCAGGGAAATGGCTGGCAGTGCATGGATAGAGAGTATTGAGGAAATAATCCATTTCGTGACTTTCTTCCTTTTCTTTCCTAGATCCCACTGTCTGCGCAGGTTTCGAGAGCTGCTGGCCTCCTGTTGCCGTACCACTAAAATCCATCCCCTGGACTGTATGAGGCAAGAAAGTGTAATCGTGGACGGGAGGAAAATTAAACTGAGAACCATCTATGTGAGGCCGAAGGACCAGGGGATGGATGCCACCAGTGATTCCACCAGTGGTGAGTGTTGATCTTTGTTCACGAAGAACAGGAGGCCAGAGAGAATCTGGCTGGCTGGGGGGGGGGGGAGGCAGCTCCCTGATTTAAGAAGAGTTTAGGGATTGGATGAGGAAGGGAGAATACTGTGGGCCACTTGGAGATCCTTGCAGTAATAATAAATGGAAATATTAAGAATCTTTTCTGTTCTTTTCTCTTCCAGATAGCGGCAACAGTGAGGCCAGCAGCTCTCTCCACCAAGGCCCAGTTTCCCCCTTCCCCAATTAATTTTTTTATTCTAATAAAGATTTTTATTGCAAATATGCCAGTCTTTGGTCATTTTTTTATCCCTGGCGGTTCTTTCCCCTAATAGTATAGGTGCATCTACAGCAGCAAGAATGTTTCTTGCCCAAAAATGGAAAGAAGAAGAAGAAGTCCCAGTGAAAGAAGAAATGGATACAAAACCTTATGGAATATGCAGAAATGTCAAATCTTCCCAGAAAAATAAGAAATCAAGATAACAAACTTTTAAATTTTTTATTAAAACAAGAGGGAGGAGAGTATCAATTAAAAGAATTTAAGGAATTACCATGCAATTAAACAACATGGATACTATATCATCATTTGAACCAATTATTTAAGAAAGATAGGATACGAGGGTTTGGGGAACAAATATCACAACTGGAGAGAAATCTGCTGGAATGTAATGTACAAGTGCTGTCTAAAATGTATAAGACATTATTGGAATGGGACACAAAGGATGAGGAAGTAAATTCCTCAATGATACATGGGCAATAGATGGTTCGAATCCTCAGGACGGGGTGAGCTCCCGTTGCTCAGTCCCTACTCCTGCCAACCTAGCAGTTCGAAAGCACGTCAAAGTGCAAGTAGATAAATAGGTACTGCTCTGGCAGGAAGGTAAACGGCGTTTCCGTGCGCTGCTCTGGTTCGCCAGAAGCGGCTTAGTCATGATCTGTATGCCGGCTCCCTCGGCCAATAAAGCAAGATGAGCGCTGCAACCCCAGAGTCGGTCACGACTGGACCTAATGGTCAGGTGTCCCTTTACCTTTACCTTTACCACTGTAGTTTATTGCAGACACAAGTAAACTTTAACTGCATTCAAAAGGTTGTTACTCTTTACCTTCTTAGTCTTGTTTTTATCCTATCTCTAACTTTTCTACCTCCCCTCACACAAGAACCAACTGCACTAACTGTCTCTCTAATTCCAACTGCCTGCCAACTGCTTTTCCAACTGCCTTTCCCAACCAACCAACCCACTAAAACCAACCAACTACCCACACCCAAACCTCGGGCTAAGCCCTTTTATAAACAGGTAGGCTCTGCCTCCGGCTTTCCTATTGGTCTACATATTAACCCTTTCTCTCCCCCTGTACAGACATTTTCAAACAAACGGGCAAATGCCACACCGGCCACCGCTCCTGCTGGGAGCTCGCTGAGCTGACAGGGTGGACGCAGTGACCAGCCGGTGACCTCAATGAGGAGCGGCTGCCACAGGGACACAGCGATGTCTGCCTGGAGCCTCCTGTGCGATGCTGATAAGGTGGTTAGGGGGCACAATCTTTGCCTTGCCCCGGGCACTGCCAACGCACACTGCACCGCTGTGTACAATTACACCAAGATTGCTTTTCTGTAGAGTTTTTTCGGGGGCTGGTGTCTGTATGATGATTAAATGGCACTAGCTGACTTTTCCTGTCTCCCCTGCCATTGTGTTATACCTGCTCTCTGTATTCTGGTTGCAAAGGAGGTAGCAGCATGTGGAGAAGGTGACAAAATGAAGGGAGGCTGCCCTCAGCGTTTCTGCCCTGCTTTGTGTGGTCCAGCCTTGAGCCCTGACCCTGAAAAGAGGATCCAGAGCTGAACTGTTCTAGTTAGCCGGATGCTGAACTTCATGCCTAATAATCACTCTGAAACCATAAGGAGGGAGTTTAATGAACACATCTGTGTTGGCTACTGATCTTTGAGTTGAAAGGAAGGAAATTGGAGTCTTGACCTAAATGTCAAGGTCTATATGGTGAAGTCTACTCTCAAAATGCCATCTATATTAAGATCTCCTGCCTAGTCCTACTTGTTGGCAAATTACATGTTCCGTAATTCCCATCCCTGAAGCCCCACTCCCTTCTTCTCTCATTAAGACTCACAGAACTTCTCCATTCAGCTCTTGCCATCTTGAAAAAGCATCATTCTCCCTCCTTTTCCCTCCAACTACCAACATTTTACATCAGGTAGGAGTTCTCCAGATCTTGTTGATCTACAACTCCCATTATCTCTGGCCATTGTCTATGCTTGCTAGGGCTGATGGGAGCTGTAATTCAGCAAACATGTGGAGGGCAAAAGTTTCTTACACCTGTTGTAAATCTATAACCCTTTTATTCTTTTCACCTCACGTAGTCTATTAAATAGGTTCTTGTCAATGACTGCTTTATAGTCCAACCCTAGGGAGGTTTACTCAGATGTAAGATCCTTTGAGTTAAATGGGCCTTACTCCCAGGTAAGTGCATATAGGAGTGCAGCTTTAGTGGCATGTGAACAAGAGCTCAGATGGCACATTATGTGCCGCAGTCAGTCCAATTATGGGAAGAAAGAAACTTGCTTGAATCAGACAATTGGTCCAGTGAGATAAGTATAATCTAAAATGAATGACAATGTCACTGCAGGGTTTCAGATAGGTGTGTTTGCTAGGGCTACGTGTAGATACCAGAAATTGAACCTAGGTCTTCTGCGTGCCAGACAAATGGTCTACCACTGAACTATGGCCTTTCATCAAGGGTAGGCTGGTCACTCACACATCACAAAAAGGAAAAGCATCGCCAAGAAAGAGGACAAAAGAAAACACAGTTTGCCTGAAATTTTCACATGCTGATTTACATTGTTAACACAGTACCCCAAACACCGAGCAGCAAGAAACTCCAGTTGCTCCAAGCACTTTACAAAGCGTTTGGTTTCCTTGAAATGAAGGTCAGTTAAGATTGTTGTATCTTTAGGATGTATGGTTTTATTTACACATATAAGCAGCCTGAGCTTAGGATGGAGAGGTTTCCAGCATAAACACTCCCATAGATCTTGTTTTTCCATTAGGTTTTCAGGGGAGCCCCAAACTCCAGCTTATGTTCAACATATACCAAGACATCCTGTCTCTCCAGTATCTCTCATTCACATATATATATATGTATCTCATAACTTTCGCTATTCTTCTTCTACCTATCAGCCAGGTGAAGTTGTGGGGGACTGTGGAAACAACTCAGAGGTTATTAAGAAGAAAAACGATAAAAACAAGAAGATTGGAAGATGGGGCTTGTGAATATTAAAGCAGCAGAAATATGAGATGATTGGACTCTTATTGAACTCGAAGCATGGGTACCCCCAACAAAAATTTTAAAAATTCGGCAAAATATTTGGATTTTATGATATGTATTGGTATAATTCAGATTAACTACAGTGGTGCCTCGCAAGACAAAATTAATTCGTTCTGCGAGTTTTTTCGTCTTGCAAATTTTTCGTCTTGCGAAGCACGGTTTCCCATAGGAATGCATTGAAAATCAATTAATGCATTCCTATGGTCAAAAAAAGTCTAAACAAAGCCAAATTTGGTACAAAAAGAGTTTATTAAGTGCTCTTTAAAGTCACACATACTGTAAAGAGCATTTCAAAAATTGAAGGAACAATAATTTAAGTTTCTAAACATGACAGAAAAGCATTTAAAAATCACCAAAGTGTACTGTACATACATTTTCTAAGACTCTGGGGGACAACTCGAAGAAGGTTCCTCTTCCACTCTTTGCTTCTTGCTGAAGAACCTGTCCATGGTCTGCTGCTTCATCCGCCTTTTCAGCACCTCCCTGAAAGACGACATGACCCTCGTATCAAAAGTGTTCGCAAGGTCATATCGCAAGGTCATATGATTGGATTGTTAAATGGAAAACTTAATAAAATTTTTTTTTTTTTTAAAAAAAGAAGTTGTGGGGTAAAGCCCACCCACTGGTGGAGGAAGGGGTGTGTGGTGGGTGCGGTCCACCCCAGGTGTCATCCCTGGGGGGGGGAGACTTGCCACGGGCAGCGCCCCCCTGGGACATGGCTGGCGCCCTCCCCCTTGGGACGTTCGGTGTGGGCGGGTTGCGGCGCCCCCCTGTGATGCTCCCCATGGGTGGCTCACAATGCCCCCTGGGTGCACGATATGTGCACTGCTCCGGGTGCCGGAGTAGCTAGCTCCGCCTCTGAGCTCACCTACTTGTTTCTTTCACAACAGAGCCTATTATTATTATTATTATTATTATTATTATTATTATTATTATTTCATTCTATTATTTATATTTTATACATTTATTTATATTTTATACAGTGGTACCTCAGGTTACATACGTTTCAGGTTACAGACACTTCAGGTTACAGTCTCCGCTAACCCAGAAATAGTACTTCGGGTTAAGAACTTTGCTTCAGGATGAGAACAGAAATTGTGTGGCGGCAGCGGGAGGCCCCATTAGCTAAAGTGGTACTTCAGGTTAAGAACAGTTTCAGGTTAAGAACGGACCTCCAGAACGAATTAAGTTCTTAACCCGAGGTACCACTGTACACATGTGTACTAAGATGAAATATTGTCATCCAGCAGTCCTGATGTGATGAAGCATATTAGTGCTGTGCTGAAACCTGTCTTCCAATATGTGCATGCAAGGGCCACTGGTGAAGTGGTCCCTGGTACAGACTGCAATCACAGCAAGCCTGCTCATAATAGTTTCTGTCTGGCATTCTCTGGAGCATTTTTGCAGAACCCACACCCACCCTATCATTTCTGAATAAATGTGCATAAACACATAGAAAGAGAAGCAAGCAGACTGGTAATAAATGAGCCATCGAGATTGTATCCTGCCAGTTCTCTGGAGAAATATGTTAACCTTAAGACATATTTCGTTAAAAAAAATAAAATGGCAAAATGCAAACGTCTCTATCTCAAGGGAAGCTATAGTTAATATATACAGTGTGTGCAGTAATAGGATGCCTGAGCAACAGAAGGTCAACTACCTACAAACTTTCCTTCAGGCATACAAGGCAAGAGAGAAAAGTGTGTCAACTTTCAAGGTGAATGTACCTGTAGACTCATCTTGTTAGGGGAAGAAAGGAAAGAGACAGGAATGGAACCAAACCCTAAATGTGCATATTTCAGGCAAAGAGTCTGGTGCAATGACTAGAAGAAGAAGAAAACAACAACAGCTGTTTAATTTGTCGATTCTTTCAACAATCAGCCTTTCTCATGTTATTGTTTCGAAATGGTAGGGGTGCAAACCCAAATTAAAAGCAAGAGATCCTGATATTTAAAAAACAAAGTGTTAAACATGTGGAGGGGACCAGCAGTTTTCAAATTTAGGAGCTTCAGGGAACAAGGGAATCCTGTGCTTTTGCCCTGGAAACCCTGAACATTACAGTGTGTTCCAGGAAACCCATTAAGTAAATGTGGGGCTCCAACTTGGTCTGTTGAGTAGAGCCATCACCCCATACAAAGTGAGAGTATACTCCAGAATGTATCAGATGTTTCCGATTAGTTTCCAAGACCAATTCAAAGTGCTGGTTTTGACCTCTAAAGCGTTAGACGGCTCAGGACCACAATACTTCAAGAACCGCCTCTTTCCATATGAACCTACCTGGTCCGGACCCTAAGATCATTTTCTGAGGCCCTCCTTTTGTGCCTCCTCCTTGAGAGGTCCCCATCTGTGGAATGCTCTCCCCAGGTGTTATGTATTGGGTTTAACACATTTTATATTGCAAGGTGTGTTCTAACCAATCATATAAGCGTTGGTAGACGAACGTTCTGATGGTAAGTAAGCGCATGTACTTTCAACTGTCAACTGTTAACGGTCAGTTCATGCTCGGGATTATTATTGTGTTGTCCAGTCAGTTTGGTTCTTGTGTTCCTCTGAGTGAGCTGCTGTCACTGATAAATGTTGAATAAACTTAATTGAGGAACTTATACTGCCTTGGGCTTCTGACTTTTTCCGAACATTTAACACCAGGGAAGTTTGCCTGGCACCTAATGGTGTATAATGTACCTTTTTAACCAGGTCTTTGGCTGACCTGATCAACATCCCATAATCTTTTAAAATGTGGCTCTTTTGGGGGGGGGGATATTATTGGCTTATTGCTTTTGTTTTGTTTTATATACTGTGATCATTTTATGTGAACCCCCCTGAGACCTCTGGGTATAGGGCGGTATATAAATTCACATAGTAATAATGATAGCAATAATAATAATAATAATAATAATAATAATAATAATAATTTCCTCCTAGATATTAAGGAGATCATGGCTTTGGTTCAATTGGGTCAAGATAGCCTAGGCTAGCCCCATGCAGTGGCAGAGGAAGGGGGCAGAGGGGCGGTTCACCACGGGTGCCAGCCTAGGAGGGTGACATCGCCAAGGGCGGGCACCTCCCCCTTGGGATGCGCACACATGTGATGTGCCATGCCCCCACGTGCGACGTACCACGGACCTGTGTGTGACATGCCACACCCTGGATACCGAAGCCCCTTCCTCCGCAACTGGCCCCATGACTCACCTAGAGGGATCCAGGGCTGACAAAATGCAGCATAGTTGAGCAGCAAGAGATGTGGGAGTAAGAAGACATAAGCAACCACTGACAAATAACAGTGTGGGGCAGTTTTGCACAAGGGCTTTCAAATAGCCCAGCCCAGCACTTTGGCTGTGCATGCCTGTTCCCAGCAGGGAAACAAGCATGTCCAGCCAAATTGAGCAGGATTGAATCTTGCTGCCTGCAGGGGTGCACTCATCCAGCACGTTCGCCACAGGGATTGTGCTTGGGAAGAACTCCCCAGCAGGCTTGAACCTTCCAATTCCCAGCTAGTGAGCCGAGAGTGCAATACATGCCTTCGATTAACTCAGGACTCATTCACAGGGAATCAGGAATGAATTTTTTCTCTTTCTCTTTTTTCTTTTCTTTTCTTTTCTTTTCTTTCTTCCTCTTTCTTTCTTCTTACCCTCTTCTTTTGGTCCTTTTCTTTTTGATTTGCTAAGAAGAGATAAAGAGAAAAAAGTTAGATATGAAAAATTTGACTAACTCAAAGTGATGTTTTGTAATTTGTCAACTATTGCTAAAGATGGTCAATTGTAATGAACTGATGTATTAGTTATTGTTATTGTGGATTTTTTTTGTTATTGTTGAATCTTAAATAAAAGTAAAAAAAAAGAAAGAAAGAAAAAGGAATGAAACTCAGGGGAAATGTGTATCGTTACCTGAGTCTGTAATCTGAGGCACTGTAAATGTTTGTGGTTCGAGGACCCGACCCCCGCGATGTGAAATAAATACACAAGGACATGTGATATAAGGTTAATGGGCAAGAAAAGGCCACAACTTTATTGATTACAGCAGTGAAAAGGTATTGGCTTAGGCATTGGATGTCTAAAACAAGGAGGTTTATTCACCAGTAGGTGGAGCCTGTTGCTGCTAATCCAACTATAGGCTCTCCCCTGATGTCACCGGGGGTCGTGCCATGGCCTCCCGCCAAGCAGGCATCGGACAGAGTACACGACCGCCAGATTCCTTTAACGGAATACCCAAAATTGAAGGCACAGGCGATGGCCACACCCAGCCCTTTGACACACCACAACACATTATTCCAATGCCTAACCTACCCACCAATACCACAAAAAGTTGTGACGATTGCTACGAGGTAGGCGAAAAACCAAAAGCCTAATGCCAAATGGAAAAATTCCTACCAGGCCCCCTAGACAACCAGGGCGACCAACCTAA